GTTTGGTATGAGAAGAATGTCTTAGGTACAATTCTCTGACTCAGATTTGTGGAATTACATTTTTGAGAGTGTATAATGAAGACAGGCATTTCAATTAATAAATAAAACTTATTTTTATTAATAAGTCGTCAGATTCATTTCATGTTTAAATTTCTTTTATAAAGCCTGCAGGCTGCAAGGATCCTGTCATGTTCACATTTATCAGTCGAGATCTTGACATAATATTTTCAATGAAACACAATAAACCACAGTTTCACTCTTCAAGCTCATCAACTGCCCACCGTGTGCAACTCTGACTATACAGAATGCTCTCTAAGCTCAGGGCAGGGTTACGCATTTCAGTGCCAAACTCTGAAATTAGATTTTACTTTGCTCCCATCAAACAGTTATTGAATTACTTTGACGACTTCACTGTATCCCATTAGTGCCTTAAAGCCAAACCAGGGCAGAGAGGTTTTCTTTCCCAAAGAATCTTTTCTTCTGAAAGCTCCTCCATATCTCTGTTTGACTCTCTTGTCTGGGGAGCCACCCAGGCCACCTTAGAAGTTAAGAAATATGAGTGTGAACCAAAAATAGCATATCTGCAAAGAAAACGTGTCTAGAATTTGATGTCTTTCTAACAACAGATTACGTTGCCAAATCACTGCATGGTTCTTCTGTGTAAAGTTTAAGGTTTCAAACAGGAAAGCTAAATCCTGCAGTCTGGTCAAGATGTTCTTTCACAATCGTCCAAATATTTGGACATTCAATCTAATCTCCATACGTAATGAGCTAAGGGAATTAAATAATCAAGGATGCCTGCTATCAACAAACCAGAGGTTGTTAAATGATCTCAAACTGGACTTTGCACTCAGATGACTGCCAAATTTAGTGCCCATTTTGCCTGTTCCGGCGCTCCAGCCCTGACAGCCCCACGGGGTAAGACTGATTATCATGAGAATAATTGAGAGAGAGGAAGAGTCAGTGCTGCTTTTAATAGAGCTGTTTCTATCTTCACACTGATAAATAATGCACAGCAGTCAGCATATTTGGATTTAACGGATGATATTGACCTTTTTGGGCAGATAGTGAGTGGGGTGTGAGACGAGGAGAGAGAGAGAAACTGAGGGAACGAATGAAAGAATGAGAATGAATTAAGAGTGAGAGAGAGGGACGGAGAGAGACAGCCTTGAAGGCCAGGCAATCAATCATGCTGATATTGTTGATTTGCTTTGCATATTGTTATGAAAATAACAAACAAACATAGATTATAGAGTGACAAAGTCAATTTAACATTAAAGAAATCAGTCATCGTTTACTTGGAAGCAGAGCAACAAAGCCTTAAAGGACTGGTACACTTAAAAATGAAAAATCTGTCATCGTTTACTCACCATCAAGTTGTTTCAAACCTGTATGAATTTCTTTCTTCTGCTGAACACAATATTTTGAAGAATGTCTGCAACCGGACAGTTGATGTACCCCATTGACTTCCAATGTATTTTTATTTTCTACTAGAAGTCAATGGGGTCAACTGTCTGGTTACCGACATTCTTCAAAATATCTTTGTGTTCAGCAGAAGAAAGAAACTCTTGAAACAACTTGAGGGTGAAGTATTCCTTTAATCCATCATTTTGTCACTGTGAAATACAGCATGACACAACAGTTTGGTCAATCAGAGTTCCAAGAGTGCTGACATATAATATAATATTGCAAAAAGTGGTGGGGCTTTTCAGTAACTCTTTCTGCAGGTTACATTGTTACACCGGTAGGTGACTAACTGTGATCTTTAGTGAATCATTGAATCATTCATTGAAGCAATTAGTTAAAATAACTTGATTCATTCAGGAACGAAACAAGTCTTGATTCATTCAACTAATTTGTTAAAAGGGTGCGTCTGAAATTGCATACATCCCTATATATACAAGTATGTGAAAAGAGTATGTCCGAATTCATAATATTTATTAAACATTAGTCGAAAAGTACCCGGAAGACCCTCTGGGAGGTACTTGAATAAGTAATTTGTGACCGTTAAAAAAGTACATTCTATATGAATGTGTGTAGCATGAAAATGTTGTCGTTGTCAAATAGCCTAGTGTCAGCTGCCATTCACAAATCCTCTCCCGTGGCCTCATAGTAAAGTTTCCATTGGATTCACACTTCAGAATCTCACTAGAAATAGTAGGTCATCTGAGTATACTTTTTGCCTACTGTTTTATGAACATTCATTCAACCATTCCATTCAAAAACACTGTGTGTTGCTTAGAAATGCACAATGATTAATTCTTCTTTTCTGCTATTCTGCTCTGAACTATTTTCGTGTGTCACTCATTACTCTCTTCTCTTATATTGAACTATTCTGGCTATAAATGCAATAGCTAGCGCAATCGTGTTGGTTTTCTAAGAGCTGGCGAATCACAGCTGTGCTTTCAGAAATATAGCACTTTTGATTGTGTGACATTGCATCAAAAAGGTGTATTTATTTATAATGGACGACAGGAGGTTCTTTGTTAAGCCTCTTGTTACATTTTGTCTGTTTTGATTTGACATAAAACAGAAGTTACGATAGTCTATTCTTTTCGTATTGTGATGTGTATCTGATTCTCAAACAAGAAAAAATGTTGGGCGTCACTTGATTTTGTCTATCAGGAATTGATTGGATTGCTGTGGTTTGCTATTGTTGTGATCTCATGTGAGTGACAGGTTGCTTTGCCTTTGCGCCAGTAAACACATCATCAGAGAAGAGAAGTAGCTGAAAAAGAGGGAGGGAAGCTAATTTGATTAAAGATTACAATGGCACATTATTAATAATAATAAAAAGATCTGTACTGATAAATAATTGATAATAAATACTGCAATATTCCATACAAAAAGAAAGAAATTTTGAACAACAATTTTAGCTCAAGTAATTCACGCAAGTCACATTGTAAGGCATGATGATCTGCAAACTTCATACATCTGTCCTTCGTTTCTCGTTCTTGATTACTCTTTCTTTCTCTTGTCCCAGCTACCACCACACTGTGTCAACACTTTCTTTCTATGCTTGTCTGATTTTTTCATTCGGATAGTTGGTGCCCTTTTGTGGTAATGGATGGATCTGATCCAGCCTTTTACTGCAGGGACACAAATCCCCTGGCATTTCCTCTGAGCATTAGAAGTTACACCGCATTATATCATCATCGTGCCCTATTGGAGCAATTGTGAAGCGATTGTTTTTTTTAGAGTGGTAATATCACAAAAGTCAAGAAATAAGAGTTCAGCTGCTTTACCCATTTTCTTGGGTCATATCACAGATGGGCCTATGATAGAAATGAAATGATTAGTCTTATATGATTAGTTTTTGATATTGATGAAGTCTGTAAATGCATTCTCTTAGTTTAGCACTACAAACAGAAACAGCACATAACAAAACCTGAACCAGTGAAATACAGCAACAAAATGCTATTTGGAGTTGATATTATTTAAAGAACAGCGCCATCTATTGGTGGATGAATCGAATATATTTGGCGAGGTGTTATGTGTCAAAATCAAAACCCATGGGTCAAAACCTTTTACAGTCTATGGTCAAAACCTTTTCAGTCAGCATGAGAAGAGACATTCAACTATAACCTAACATGATATATATATATATATATATATATATATATATATATATATATATATATATATATATATATTAAAGAACATAAAATAAAACAGCTCATATAATTAACAGGTTGACCACCTAATGTTGATGTTTCAGGCCCTATTTAGTATTCTACAGCCGCAGCTGGAACCAGCTTCCAGAGGAGATCAGATGTGCTCCTACAGTAGTCACATTCAAATCCAGACTCAAAACACTTCTGTTTAGCTATGCATTTACTGAATGAGCACTGTGCCACTGTGTCCGACTGTTTGTACTGTATTTTATTTTATTTTTTATTCTAAACTGTTTTAATTATTCTTATTTCTTTTGATTATTTTAATCTCTTTATTCTTAACGGTTTTAATTATTCATATTTCTTTTGATTTTTCTATGTAAAGCACCTTGAATTACCATTGTGTATGAAATGTGCTATATAAATAAACTTGCCTTGCCTTGCCTTGCCTACATTAAATTAATTATCTTCAATGCAAATATAGGCTTTTGGATAAAAAAATTAATGGAGAAATATTTATCAACGCATTACATATATTGGCAGGCTGGTATAAATTCATTGACCAAAGTAAACAAAAAGCTTAGTGTTAAAAGTGTAGATCGTCATTTTTACAGTCTATGGTCATATGTAAGTAGCAGTCAAATTGAAGCAAGCTACGCTACATGCTAAATGGTCGGAGAAACAGATTTGTACAATATAAAAGTCCCTTCATCCGGATAGTCCTAAAAGCGAAAAGTAGTTTGTAAAGTGAAATGTTTAATAATTCTTGCTTTTTGTATTTTTAAAACTCGACAATAATTGCTTTAAAATGACACCTTAATTAATAAATGGCGCAAACTTATACTTAATTTAAATCGTACACCTTTACAATAGTAGCCTACAAGAGTTTATTTGTATGAATAATTAAACTTCGCAAAACATATTGGTTTTAACAATGTGTAGATTAAAAAAGTAATTGTGCAAACTCGGACACATAAAGAACTAGCTATGAAATGAATAAACAATCATTAAAAATAAAATAGTTGTGACAAAAAAATAAATTATGCATTTCAAAAGATAAAAAAAAATTCAAGAAAAAAAAAAAGAAATTTACAAACGTCTTATATTGATGAGGCATATTTCACAACCTTTTGTAAATTATTTCACATACTAAATTATAAATTTTAATCCAGAAATTCATATAATCTTACAATTTTACAATTCAGTCATTAGGCTGTTTGTACAGAATGCAGATGCATTGACGTTTATCCTAAAAACTCTCTATTGACATTATCCGTAGTTTGTTTGTCGGCCAAATTTATGATTCTGGCTGGCTTCACGTTATTTGTTGCAGGGGTCGAAGCAAGCGGAGGTCTTTCCTATCCCAAAAGAAAAGGAGAAAAAAACGGAGAGGGGGGGGAGAAAGAAAGAAAGGTCTACACAGGAAAAAAGGTGGTCCCACTCCGAAAACACCGTTTCCAAGCAGGCGGTCTCAATTCCATACTTTTCTTCTCATATCGCATCGCGATTAAAGTTATACAAACACGTTAACAACCCTTATTTTTGGACTCAACATGTTCATGTTAGCAAAAACTAACGGGATGCTATCATTCTAGCAGGATTAAAGTTTTAGAAATACGGAAAAATGGAGAGAAGAGCTGAAACTGGGGTGAAGAGGCTGGCGCTGGGAATCTCGCCTTACTCCCACCATCGCCTGTAAGAAAACCCCTCTTAAGGTAATTTTCACCTCTATTTGGACTTTTAAAGTTTCCAGTTTGCGTCTTAAGTTCATACCGTTGTCGTTAAAACTACAACATCACGGAAACTTTAGCGATTAAGCTCAATTTTAGATCCAGGCCTCGGGAAAACAATTGATTTTTTGCAGGAAGGGGAGTTTTTTGTGATTTTGGGGGGTAAGTTATCGTATATCCGGTGTATCGTTCACTTTTAATTCTATTAATGTTTTATTAACGACATTGTAACATAACTGGCTCCGCTAAGGCCTGTAGCAGGTAACGAAAAGTTCAAGAAAAGAGTTTCAAGTTTGTTTTGGGCGATGAAAAAGTGAACAAGTGTCTGAGTTTGAGTCTTTGTGGGGGGCCAGTGGAATTTTTGTGGTAAAATTCAGTTTTAAGATCGGTTTATAGTTTAACTATACTTTAACAACATAAAGGGCTTAATTAAAATGTTATGACACTAACTGATATGAATAGTGGTGTCATTCATTTTTATTACCAGACTCTTCTTTTCTCAGAGACAGTGTAACTTACACAACGCCGTTGTGTAAACACATATCACAACAGCTCCTAATATCAGTTTCTGACTTTGAATGATAACGCGGTTAAACTCGATATAACGATTACATACGGTTAACGGAATCCATAACTAAACGTTGTATAAACCTATTTTATTTTGACATCCATCCATCCTGTGATATAGCATTTATTCAATCTATGCATCCATCCATATGTAATATGATATAACTAATTTGTTTTATTGTATAATTTACAGTATAATTTACAAAACTATTTTACAAAAATGTCATATTGTTTTATTTTTCAATATCGGCATGAACTGTTACTATTCACACTTGATATCAAACATAAGCAAAAATGCAAATATACTTGTTATATACATAGCTACTTAATGTACATAATCATACTAGTCTTAATAAATTATGTATTTGTTTTATTTTATTTCAGATTAATATCTGATTAAATTAACATTTCACGTCGACTGGAATTCACACAATTCTGGGGTGTTGACTGAAGAGGTAACTGAGTGTGGGACTGGACGTGTTGCCTTGGAGATGAGGATGTGCTGCTGGCACCAGGAAGGAAGGATTTTGATGTGATGGGGTGCAGGACGAGCAAAGTCCTCCCAGAGCCACCCGCTGACGTCCAACTTGACCTAGTCAAAAAGGTAGAGCCGCATCAGACCGATGTCTATAAAAACTTCATCAGAAGTGAAGGTGGCGGGGAGAAAACAGGCTCGCAATCCCCTCAGGGTCAAAGCCAGGCTGCTGCTGCGAAGGTGAGCCAGTCCCCTCCACCAGCTAACAGCCAGACAGAGCCCGCTGACCCACACCGGAAAAAGGTAGCCAAATACAGGGCCAAATTTGACCCTCGAGTGACTGCTAAGTATGATATCAAAGCTTTGATAGGTCGGGGCAGTTTCAGTCGGGTTGTACGAGTGGAACACAGGAGCACACGGCAGCCATACGCCATCAAGATGATCGAGACCCGCTACCGTGAGGGCAGAGAAGTATGTGAATCTGAACTTTGCGTCCTGCGACGGGTTCGCCACACTAACATCATCCAACTGATGGAGGTGTTCGAGACAGCTGAGCGGGTCTACATGGTGATGGAGCTGGCCACCGGCGGAGAACTGTTCGACCGCATCATCGCCCGTGGGTCTTTCACAGAAAGGGATGCCACGCGGGTGCTGCAGATGGTTCTCGATGGCGTGAAGTACCTCCACACGTTGGGCATCACGCACAGGGACCTGAAACCTGAAAACTTGCTTTACTACCATCCTGGTGCTGATTCCAAGATTATGATCACAGACTTTGGCCTGGCCAGCACGCGGAAGAAAGGCGACGAATGCCTGATGAAGACGACCTGTGGAACGCCTGAGTACATCGCTCCTGAGATCCTCGTTCGTAAGCCGTACACCAATGCAGTGGACATGTGGGCGCTGGGAGTCATCTCCTACATACTGCTCAGTGGCACCATGCCTTTTGAGGATGACAATCGCATGCGCCTGTACCGACAGATCCTCAAAGGGAAATACAGTTTCTCCGGCGAGGTAAGGACTATGCAACCACTTTAAAATAATTATTCATGATTGTGATGTCAGAATGATTTGCATATAGTGTACATAACCTATACACTGCATGTGTACAAATAATATACTTTCAGAATCTTTAATAATGTTTGTGATCTCAAGTCAACACTGCCAAGCATTAAATAGATAATTGTGGGCTTACAGATTTGTATCAGCCTCATTAAAGGGTAAAATATGTATTCAACAATGTGCTTGTGTCACACACGTTAACTTACACCTGAAGGGAGTGGATTCTGGAATGTGGATCCATAACACCACTAAAAGTGGATCCATAACACACCACTAAAAGTGGATCCATAACACACCACTAAAAGCCTTCACGTCTTATATAGATAAAGCTTAAAAAAAGCTTTATACCAAGTTCAAGTCGGCACGAAATGGAAGTTGAGATAGTAGTTTCTATTATGACGTTTGTCAAAGTGAAGCGGCTTCTCAAACAAGAAAAAAATGTAGGGTGGTTTTGATTTTGTCCCTAGGAATTGATTGGATCTTTGTTGTTTGCGATTGTTGTGATCTCATGTGAGTGACAGGTTGTACCGCCCTCGTGCCAGTGAACACATCATCAGAGAAGAAAAGAGATGTTGCTGCAAGTGGGAGGGGAAGTCATTTTTACTAAAGATTACGAGGGCACGTGAATAAAAAAAAAATAATGACGTGTAATAAATGCTGCAATATTCCATAAAAAATAAGAATTGTCCATTTTGAATTCATGGTGACTTTCAAGTTTCTAAAAAAGTTTTAGCCAAACTCGATGTGTCATACCCCGAAGGGATAATCAACATAGATAAAATCTTCTTAAATAATGTACCCTAATAGTGCCTGTTTTTGCACTCGGTATATTTTTGAGCTGCATGTGTGTGCTATATTTATGAGATTTATATGAGAAGTCACGTCAGTGTGGATCATGTATGTGCAAAACAAGAGTTGCTGGGAGATTGGAAATGCAGATGTTTTTGATTAGTTATAGACGTGCTATAAAGCATATGCTTTGTTACTTGGTTTTATTAAACCCAGAAGTATTTGTGTGCCATGTTTTTGGGCCCACTTGCAATGTTCTATACTTAATGATTTATTTGTTTTTGGCTGACTGCTTTTGCAAACAAACAAGCTCTTATGAAGTATGCTTCATATGTTAGGGTGGTGGTATTCACCTTTAAAGCTCTGAAGTGTTATTATTTGATGTTAAACTCTTACCTACCCCAAATTTAATGCTGATGTGTGTAATTGTTTTGTTATGTTTATATTTGTGCAGAGACATGTATAAGTAAGCCATTAGTTGGTTGATTTCCCCGAAAAGCGTAAGCACTGTGGTCTGTGGCGCTTTCAGCATTGCACTGTTTGTTTGAGCGGCCTGACATAGCAACATTGACTCAACAAATGGTTTGAGTTTGGGGCGGTACTACCTGTTTGTCCGTTGAGCGTTAAGGAAACATATTTTTGCACTTTTATTCAGTGCCAACATTAGAATTTAATTATTCGTTTTTCATAACCTCACAAACCCCCTGCAGTTTTTCCGTAGACTATAGCTGTTTTCATCTCCTGAATATATAAAACATACTGTAAATCAGAATTAAAATGTTTAAATCCTTTAAATAGAACTGCATTATTATAAACCCATTTAAATAAATAATTTAGGAATTTATGCATTTGGCAAATGCTTTTGTCTAAACGACATAGGATTTAAGGTACACATTTTATCATGAGGTACTACAACAGTCCTTGCTTTCCCTGGGAATCGAACCCATGCCCTTGACATTGCTAGCTCTATGCTCTACTTTTCGAGCTACAAAACAGATTTGGCAGAATTTCAGTTACAGTACATCTGTACAGTGTACAGTTTAATAATGTTTGAGCAACACTTCAGAATGTGTCTTACCTCTATGAGTGACCCCAGGAAAAACGGTCTTGTACATTAATATTTTCATTATCATGTGGCTTAAAAACATAATTCTTTGACATTTCTTGAAGACTGGCCTATTGTAACAATGCAATATGTTGGATTATTTATTTATTTTTTCAACAGTGAGAAAGTAAAAAACAATGACGTGTTGCTATATGGCAAAACTGTATCATAGATGGGAAGGGTTTGTGAAACCATTTGGTGCCACTAGTGGCATATAAAGCAAACAACAGCTTTTACTTTGACTTTTAATTGTACTGCAAACTATATTAAAATTCTAAACGCGAGGAATTTATTTAAAGCTGCAGTCCGTATCTTTTCCTCTTTGTCGCCATCTCTCTGTTCGAAATCTGTAACTGCAGTGATTCGCGGAATTATCATCTTTACGTGGGTTGTAAATCGGCATGAAACAGCGCGGATGAACACAGTGCTTTGAGGCGAGTGGTGCTGTCAGTCACCGCGCTGTGTGGATACTGTCATACAGAATCACAGATTCACTTTTTGAAAGTTTGACCAACATAAGAATTTTCATTAGAAAATGTCTTCTGAACAAGTAAGTAACATCCATTTTTGTTCTGACCAACTAAGGGGGAAAAAGCATTCGACATGATAAGCTTCGTTAGATTTAATCAACGCGATTTACAGCAACCGTGCAAATTATAGCCTACTTTGTTCTCAAATTGTTCATGTTAACAACATCACATCAGCATTGCGTGACTAATGTTAAATTTAATGTGTTTTATGGTTACCTGTGTAGTTCAGAATTCATATTCTCCATAATAGCAAAACGAGAAAGGCACAACAAAGGAAACTCCATAACTGTGTGAATTAAGAAAACGTACTGTTACACGATTGAACTATTGAAATGTCTTACTTGTTCAGCAGAAAAAAGCCGTCTCTTCTTCCGTTTTGAACCCCTTCAAAACACGGAGTTCACGCACTTTTCAAAAGCCCCGCCGATGTTTAAATCCTTGTGTTCGCATGAGACGGTTTCTTTCTCTTTCTCTAGCCACCTTAAATCCGAAGTACGAAGTCTTTTGGGTTTTATAACTGCTGAATCTCCAGTTGACACTGATGATTGTTGTTTGGATCTTTCTGGATGCCATAAGTTTAATTATGTAAAGTGCTGCGAGAAAAGCCTATACATCTAAACATCTCGTCACGCGCAGTATAGCCGGCTAGCCGAAACTCCTTTATGTGTTCGGGTGTGACGTCATGACGCAAAGACATGCTCGAATTTCCCGCGGAAACCCACCAGTACCACTGGAATTAAAATCATTATTACAAGCTAACCGTTTTGAATCTAGCTATGGCAAGCAGATAGTTTTGACCACTGGCAGAATAAGTTTTTTTTTAATATAATTATTTTGGATTATTTTTAACTTAAAAAAGTTACGGACTGGAGTTTTAAATGATTACATTTACATTTGTACATTTGCAGATGCTTTTATCCGAAGCATGTTTGCATTGCACTCAAGGTACATATTTGAATTAGTTCATCCATTGTCTGGGAACTGAAGTCATGACTTTGGTATTGCATGGCATATATTAGAGCTGCACGATTTTGGATACATTTTTGTTTAAAATAGAGGTGATGATTCACCCACAATTCTGAATAGACAACAAAACATGTCATTTACTTAGAGGTTCTGCCAAATTGTACATTTTAAATAAGAAATATTTAATTAATTTGAATTGATTATAAAAAATAAAAAAAAGGTTTAGATGAATGACTCAGTGACTCACTCATAAAGACTGCACTTGTTTCATTACTGGATTAATCCGCGTTTTTAAACGAATCTCTTGAATGATTGATACAATGACAAATACTTTTTTTTTTACATTCTAGGTTTAATAGACAGCCGTATCGTTGTCATTTAGGAATAAGATCACGTGGGTGTTTTAATCCAGATCGCAGTCTTTTACCGATTAGCCTAATCGTGTAGCTCTAGCATATATTTAGTGTCTGTAGTCTAGTGAGCAAAGGCTTTTTGATGTGCCTATTCGCTTTGAGGCCATCTATATGCTAATATTCTCTGATAACTTGACAAAATGAGCCATTAGCAGATACACATTTAAAATGTTCAGTCTTTCTTTCTGGTAAAACGGTCCAAAAATACTGATGACTCATTCTGCACTACACAAACTTTTAGAATAAGAATGGCAGTGCCCCACTGAAAATGTCTGTCTCCTGCTATATAGCTACTTGAGGCTTTTATACAGTCCATTCAGATCTGCATTCCTAAATAGAAATATTCCCCACAAAGCCACCAGAACACAACAGGCTATGATAGTACTGCCTCTTTCTGTCTTTTGGCCCTAAGTGCGCTCTGTTTCTATTCTTCACAAAATGCTTTTCAAACACTTTAAACTTTTGCCAACCATTTGTCTCTGTCTGTTGACCTTGGATTTCTGAGTATGTTTATTTGGATTCCTCTATTTATCGTATGAGTATTTATATGCAAGTTTTGGTGTGTTCGCATGTGCTTGTATTTTGGGGAGAGTGTTTGTGTTAGCTGGACAGTCCTGTCATCATGATGTGTTATCCCGCAGTAACCCCCTGCATGAGCGTGTGATGTAAGGCCACAGAGTTCCTGGCAGAGTGTGTGCGTCAGGGCCTCTCTGCTGCTGTGAGTCACAGACGAGACCAATGTGGACTTAACAGGGAAAAGCCCTGGAGAAGTCATGCTAACCAACAAAAACTCAGCCATGTTTTGTTTTCTCTCTTGCTTATAGAACTGCTAGTGTTTGGCCAGTTGTCATAACATATCGGGACATGCACGACTAGTCTAAAGATGTTCTAGGAAGAGTGAAAAATTAACTTAAAGTAACTAGTTTGTATGTTTTGCATTGCTGAAACCTTCTTGTATTGATTTAGCCAGTCCTGGCAGAGGTGATCATGCGGCCCTTGCTTTCTATTTCAACAAACTTGAATTATGCTCTCCAATATCGGCTATTGTTATAGTCGACTGGACCTTGTTTGTTTCTTGTTATATTATATTATCATTCAAAAAGTTGGTAGGTACAGCAAGATTTTTAATTTCTGAAAGAAATTCATACTTTTATTCAGCAAGGGAGGACACATTTAAATTGATCAAAAGTGACAGTAAAGACATTCATAATGTTATTGTAATGTTAGGATTTGTACTTTGTTTAGAGTAAGAATCCTGAAAAAAATGCATCACTGTTTCCAAAAAAATATGAATCAGCACAACTGTTTCCAACATTGATGATAAATGTTCTTGAACACCAAATCAGCATATTAGCATGATTTCTGAAGGATCATGTGACACTGAAGACTGGAGTAATGATGCTGAAAATTCAGCTTGGCCATCACAGGAATAAATTACATTTTATAAAATATAAAACTGTTATTTGTAATATTTCACCCTTTAAAATTACCGTTTTTATTACTGTTTTTGCTGTATTTTTGGTCAAATGCAGCCTTGGTGAGCATCAGATACTTCTTTCAAAAACAATAAAAATCAGTAACATAACATTATAACAGTATATTACTATTGCAATAACAGCAAATGATGTATAATTACAACAAGTATTAAGTATACAAGTATAATTAAAATGTATGATATTATCTTCTATTATAATAAGCTAGGTTGTTATGTGTTGTTGATTATACAGAACAAGTCTCAAAATCTTTTGAGAATGTCTGAATCATTTTATTTAAGCCATTTTCTATTTCTTTTCTGTTTTCTGACAGCCATGGCCAAGTGTTTCCAACCTTGCCAAGGACTTCATTGACCGTGTCCTCACGGTGGATCCAAATGAGCGTCTCACTGCGGGCCAAGCACTTAAACACCCTTGGGTTGTCAGCATGGCAGCTTCCTCCTCTATGAAGAACCTGCAGCGGTCCATTTCCCAGAACCTCCTGAAGAGAGCGTCCTCACGCTGCCACAGCACTAAATCAGCCCAGTCCACTCGCTCCAGCCGCTCCACAAAGTCCAGCAAGGCACGGCGCGTTCGCGAGAAAGAGCTGCGAGAACTCAACCGCCGGTACCAGCAGCAATGTAGCGGTTGAGAGCGATGTAAAGACTATGTGACAAACAAGACCTTGCTAAAACATTGGAGAGAGCAAAACAACATTGTGCCTCAACTGAGATGTCAACTTCCTGCTCCATCACCACAGAGCCAATTAGCAGAAAACCTCCTTCTAAACTTTTCATTCACTTTCTATTTTTCTGCTGTTTTTCTTTCGTTTATTATCTTTTATGTGAGTTTTATTTATTTATTGTTGGTGTATTGTCATGTTTATGTTGTCTTTGGAAATTATCTCATTCAGCCTTTTACCTGATTGTATCTGTTGAACAGAATTTTACATAAGTTGCTGGAAGGACTAAGAATACACCTTCCTGATTTTTGCTGTGAATTATTTGTTACGGTTACCCACCCAGAAGATTGTTCTTCTGATAGGGGAAATGTGCTGTTTATTCATTATTGGCGACAAATCACATGACCTAGTTATAGTTTATTGTGCCTTAATATCACTTTGAACATGAGGGAAAGGTAAAAATCAGACCGTTGATAATTGCTATAATACACACTGCTGTTTAATTATGAGCCTTAAAGGGATAGTTCACCCAAAAATGAAAATTATGTCATCATATACTTACCCTCGTGTCATTTCCAAACCCGTATGACTTCTGTGGAGCACAAAAGATGATGTTTTGAAGAACTGCTTTTGCCCATACAATGAAGGGGTCCAAAACAACACTGGACCTCATTGGCTTTCATTGCATGGACTAAAAAACATGGATAAATAAATACAAATCTTCTTTTTTTGTGTTGTGCAGAAATAAAGTTATACAGGTCCGGAATGACAAGAGTCATTTCTGTAAATGATTACAGAATCTTTAGGTAAACTATTGCTTTAACTTGGTCCAAAACTATTAAAAGGATCTACATTGCCCAATATGTCTGTTGTTTATCCTGAATAAGACATAACTGACCCTTTTCTTGCCGTTTCTGCAACCCTACTAATGAGGACCCTAATTGTAATAGCAATCATTAATACCTGTCGGAAAATACACCGAAAAAAAGTGTAATCAGGATTTTCAGAGACTTGGCTTTAATTTGGTTAGTGAAGAAACTTACCGTGATTCATGACTTCTACTGTTGTAGTAATTATTCTTACTATCTGATATTGATCGCTCTCAGTGTATGGGTGGCCAGTATCGGGAAGCCCCGAATCAGAATCGGTTACTTTCTCTGTCACCAGCTGTTGTGCCTTGAGCAAGGCACTGAACCACCGTGAAGGCCTTTTGGCAGCCTTTCCACTCTCACCCCCCTCTGTCAGAAAGCAGCAGAAATGTGCCAAAGAAACCCCTGTGTGCCTGGATTAACGAGCAATGTTTTGCGAGAGCGGACATATGAAAATAATTAGTATTAAAACTGTGATGAAATGAAGACTTTTTAAAATGTGTTCTTAAATCTGTTCCTTGTTTTTATATATATATATAAAATCATATATCAAAAATGAAGGGGAAAAGTAATCTGTGTATCTGGGTTGTGTCCCGTTTCACAGCAAGTGCCTTGAATTTGTTATACAATTGATGTAACGAGTGAATAATATTTGGAAAAAAATGGCAACCACATTGGTTTTGGATACTTTATTTTTGAATAACTATTTGACTGCAGAAATATTCTCATTTTTGGTTTCTTCCACATTCTCTCACTTCTGAGCTTGTGTAATTTTCTCAAACTTAAGGAAAATATATTTCCCTCATTTTGGTTACATTTATTAGCCAACTTTTTAAACCTGCAAAATATCTTGGGTTCTTTTGTCTGAGTTTAATTTGAAAATAACTAGAAATTTGAATCAGTTAAAGTTTCTTGAGGGTTCATGAGTGTTAAGGCTGTCATACATTACTTGTTAATTTTAATCTAGTAGTATCCATTAAAATATCAACCTCAAAAATGACTTTGGGAAAACCACTGTTTGTATATGCCTTTATACCCCCAATATTTTTCTCTCTCTCAAGGAAAAGAATAATTTATATGTGCACGTCAAATTGAGACTAGTAAAGAAAATGCTCTTAAAAGTGCAAAAATATTTTTAATTTAGTGTATCACCAACATTCGTGTAAGGAATGTGTGTTTGTAGCTACAGTTGAAATAAAACTGCAACTGTTGTCCATTTGTTGAGTTCAGTCCAACACTGTCTCATGGTCCTTTTTGTCCATTTTTAATGAACAATTACAGAATATTTATTTTTTTATCATTAATATTTAGTAAAATGTTGCAATTAAATCTAAAAACAAAAGCTCTCACTTTAATCAACTATTGACAAAAATATCTTTACAATTCAAATCAAGAAAACTGCTATTATTTTTGTGCAACATAAACTATGATTAATTTTCCTTTAGTAAGGATGAGACAAAGGACATGTTAGTCACATATCTATGAAGCAAGATGTTTTCACATTGTGTACATTTTTTGGCTGCTGTGTGGAGTTTGTAAACCTGGCTTAATTGTCTGTTATAAAGGAAGACAAAAAATAGTGATTCATTGGTAAATATAATGACGTAAATTTTTAGGCCAAATGGTTTCTGATATACAGCCTAAGTAAAATAAGGTCTGTGGTCAAGGGATAGTCCATCTAAAAATCTTTGGATAGGATCATTACTCACTCTCATGTAATCCCAAATCTGTATGACTTTCTTCTGCAGAACACAAAAAAAGATGAATGGGTACCATACAAATTGGAGCCCAGTGACTTCCATTGTACGGAAAAACAAAACACTGATACATTTATCAAAATATCTTCTTTTATGTGCAGAATTTTTGGGTGAACTATCCCTTCAACATTACTTGAAAAAAAGTTTCTCCTTTAATATGTTAGGCTATACACAGTCAAACATCAAACAAAGTACTATACAACGTTTTATACAACGCACGTTGCTATAACAGCTTTTTAACAGAGAAAATACGATGAAAAGTTAAGTTTGTTTTCAAATAAATTGTCAGGCTGTATGTAGCACGTAAGATAGCCATAGACAGTACTGGAGCTTTTATTTTGAAAAATAACAAAAAAAAATAATGGCGCCATGAATTCTTGCAGCTAGCTTCACATTTCACTTCAGCACAAAACAGGTCAGTACAATTATTTGCAGATTTATTTATAATGGTATAATATGTATTTTATTTATAGCTTAATCTATATTTGAAATTATTGTTTCGTTTCATAATATGTTTTTTTGTATTGTTTTATGTCAGTCTTGCAGAGTCTGAAACGACAAATCAATTCATTGCAAAAGAATCATCAAAAATAACCTTTGCTTTGAATGCAATGAAGCAGCCTTCCTATACACAATTCAGACACTGTCTAATGAATGCCACCCTCTCCTATGACTATTTAGTCTTTTATGTACTTTCAGGTTCAGAAACAAATATTTAGCCTTTTGTTGTTTACCTGGTTGATGGGATAACATATGAACAGACCGGTATGGAGTCTCGGATGGGGAAAGGCAGCTCTTCTAATAGAGGCAGTGCCAGACAACTCTCAGTCGTGAAGAAAAATAGCCATAGAGTCAGTGCAATCAAAGAGAGAACAAGCAATGGAGGTGGGGTTGCTTCCATAACTTCATTTTTCAGGAATACACCACCTTGTAAACTTGCCTGTCCTCTGTGTGGCAAACTTGTACCTCGTTACAAGATTAATGAACACATAGACTCTCAATGCCAGAGGTTTCTTGGAGAGGATCATGAAGATGCATTGGCTGTCAGTGATGACAAGGAGGAGAAAATAACCAAAACACCCTCTAATGGTGCAGTAACTCGAAATAACGGGAAAGAGAAAAGCCCAGGAGAGAAAGATGCTGATACGAGTCCATATTTTAAAAAGAACTGTGTGATGAGACAAGAATCATCCCAAACAAATGTACAAACTAAAGCAGTTAAAAAAGTTGGTCTTGGGAGTTTATCCTCTAAACTGTCTAGAAGAGCACTTAGACTTTCAGGGGAATCTGAGACGGATAATACTCATGTCTCTGGAAAAGAAGAGGCCTGTAATTCAGAATCGAGCAGTTCACAGAAGGAAAATTACATGAAGAGTTTAACTTTTGAATCTAAAGCCGATGGCATGGATACAGATGACACGCTACCAACAGAGCCAACAGCTTCAATCCAACCTCAAGTGAAAAACATTGAGAAATCTGTGGCAGCTCTGGGAGAATCTAGCAGCAGCGCTGACGTTCAGTCAGTGAAATGTTCCTCCTCATCCAGAATAAAGAAGCGGAAGTCAGAGGAGGTGCTTAAAAACGACACAAACACTACAGAAACCTCCATCATACATAAGAAAAGTAGATATATTCAAAGTAAAACTGAAAACAGACAGGACACTAATGTCAAGTCAGATCAAACTGATGCCTCGTCCAGTGTCTATGATGTTTCATCATCAGAGAGTCAAATCAAAAGCAAGACCATATATGAGGACATTGAGACTACAACACCAGCTAATGAACCCAAAATGCTTGCCGTAGAGAAAGCCAACGAGGAATCAGAGCATCAGGACACCAGGCGGCCGTATTACCTGCAAAACTTTCGGACTGTCCTTGAGGCGGTGTTGGAAAATGAGGATGATAGGCTGCTCTTCAATGAAGATGACTTCTCAGCAATTCACACTTTTCAGATGCTTTCAGGTAGAGGAACTACTTCAAAGTCACTTTGAAGTCTCAGTTCTGTGCTTATATGCAACAATAGTCTTTTAAAACTCAATGCACTCTAGGTAAGTTATGTAACATACACTATCATTCAAAAAGCTTATGGTCATTATGATTTTTTTTTTAAAGAAATTGATACTTTTATTCAGCAAGGATCCATTAAATTGATCACTATATATCAAGATTTATCACAAAAGATTTATATTTCTTTTTTAAAAATTCATCCTGAAACCTGAAACAAAAATGCATCCACAAAAATATTAAGCACCACAACTGTTTTCATCACTGATAATAATAAGAAATGTTTCTTGAGCACCAAATCAGCATATTTGAATCGTATCTAAAGGATCATGTGACACTG